CTTAAGGTTGCTCATTTGTCAGAATTTTATCTACTGTATTATTCATTTTATCATAAGACAACATTTGTGTTATGAAAGTTAATTTCCAAGAAGACCCTGTAATGCCATGCTGATTTGATTATATGGATGACATCCTCTGGGAACCCCAAAACTGATGTGCGCGTGTGAATAGAAAAGAGTTTGGCAAAAAAAAAGTTGCTTTCATTATGGACATGAAGGTAACGAACAAATGACCCTTCAAATTCCTTTCTTTATTATTTTTTTTTGTTTTGATTTTGGTCATTCTAGGACATTGGCATTGTTTTTGTTTTGCAACTTATGATATATTTTTGCTCATTCTGCAACTGTTTTGTACGATTTGCAGTATGGCTGAAAACTTTTTTTGGGGGGAAACGTTTTTTTTTTTTAATTTCTTCGCGCAGGTATGTCATCCATATCAACATGCCCTAAATACAGAACAAAATGTGTATGGGAGTATTTTGCATTCAGTGTGGTGGAATAAAATGCTTATTGTCCAATATGTTTTGTTTCAGTTGAACTTCTTGTTTCAAAGTTATCAAAAGATTCTGACTTTTTTTAGTTCTTGTTTAGTAAGGCCATGTTGATTTGATTATATGGATGACATCCTCCGGGAGCCCCAAAACTGATGCGCGCGTGCGAATAAAAAAAAAGTTTTGCAAAAAAAAGTTGTTTTCATTATGAAATCTACGTGGTCATGAGGGGTTGAACAAATTGGACAGAATATGGTTTAGCGAATAATCTAATCTTCAAGTTCATTTCCTTACAATTTCGTCTTTTTTCGTTTGATTTTGGCATTCTACAACATTGGTATAGTTTTTACTTATTTTTTTGTAACTTACGGTATATTTTTGCTCATTTTGCTCAACTGTTTTGTACGATTTACAGTATGGTTGAAAACTTTTTTTTTTTTGGAAACGGCCGAAAATTCATGCGCGCGCGGATGTCATCCATATAATCAAATCAACATGCCCTAAATACAGAACAAAATGTGTATGGGAGTATGTTGCATTCAGTGTGGTGGAATAAAAATGCTTATTGTCCAATATGTTTTGTTTCAGTTGAACTTCTTGCTTCAGTTTCAGTTTATTTAAAAATGGACTGGCATGTCACACAATCATATGGTACATGAAATATGTCGAATTTTCACAAACACTGCACGTATCATGGACTATCCAATAAGTTAAAATGAGATATACTATTAAAATCTGGTCATTGATCACCAATTTACAGAATACATATAATACAATCGTAATAATTAAAAGAGCCATATTTACAGACTATTTATATAAAATCAATATACTACTATGTAGAATGCTTCAAGTTATCAAAAGATTCAAACTTTTTTTAGTTCTAGTTGTAAAGTATAGCTTCATTCATGTAACCAAGGTCACCAGACAACAGTCACCATAGTCCCTGTATTGGTCTTGTTTTGGATGCTAATTCTAATTTTTTGCAAAATTTATCTCTTCATTTTCCTATTTCAACTTCCCAAATTTCATTAGTCCAGTGACTTTTCTCCATTAAGTAAATTTAAGGTTTTTATAAATACCAAATGCCATAAATGACAGTGCTGAAAAGGAATTTCAATACAAGGAAGATATGTTGAACTTGAAACCAAAGAAGGCCTCCCAAAAGCTTGAAAAATCTTTATAAGCCAAAAAGGTTTTATAAATTTTAAAGGACACACCAAGTTAATTTGTTGGTTCTCACATCTTTTTCAGAAAAACACAAAAAATTGCTCTGTACAGCAAAGAGGGCATTCGCCTTTCCAAGATTCAAGTATATTAGGGGTACAAATGGATCCATATGATTACCTGGCACGAGCTTTCTGACAGAATCATACTGTTATTCGGACAGAACAAAGAGCGAGAGATTATGTGGTTAAGTCCTACTTACTCACCGACACCAACATGTAACATGACCAGGTTGTCAGCAGCAGGGTCATATAAACAATTCAAGTTTCTAACCGTAGACACGAAAGGGAACATCTATGTCACAGATGGGACTGACTCTCGTATTCTAAAGTATGACAAGAACGGAGTCTACCTGTCCAGTTTTGGCAGCAAAGGTACTGGAGCAGGGAATCTTTACAATCCCTCAGGAATCTGTGTGGACAGTTTGGGGCGTGTGATCGTGGCTGATACTGGGAACAGCCGGGTGGAGATGTTCACAGCTGAGGGAGAGCACATCCGCACCATAGCTTATATTAATCAACCCACACATGTTGCTACAGGTGGGGAGGGGCAGCTTGTGCTCACTCACGGGAAGTTTGTAACCATCTTGCCCAAATATTAGGGACACTCCAATTTATTAATATTGCAGCTGTGGTCCTCAGACATTCTTGAGGGCCTGCATGGGGGGTATAGTGGTAACGAATTACGCAAAGTCTTTGCGGCCGATGACGAATTATGTTAAATTCTCAAAGCTGTTTAGGACTTTACGCATACCTGCTAATGCAACATCACGAATTACATTGATTTGTGGGGTGACTAATTTAGATTACGAAGACTAAAAATTTCAGTAAAATAGCCTGATTTGCACCTTACGAAAAAGGGCATGCAGGTCCAAATTCTCAAGTACAAATGCAGCAGGAGGACAAGATAAACAGCTGAGGCTGGAAGGAAAAGTTGCGTCTGAATCAGAAATGATTTTGAATGAGAAATACAGAAAAGAAGAAGATAAAAAAACACTCACTACCTTAAGAAGCTGGAACACGTCTCCCAAGCATGAAAGTCACCCAAACCTGTAACTCCATCCTGTCCACTGACGGCCGCCATCTTAGATTCAGAACACCCACCAGACAGAGTTGCACCCTGGGTACTGCCTGCTCCTGTCACCACCTGTTGTCAGAGAAGGTTTTGTACGTTTAATCATCATCATCATCATAGTGACCTTCTAGGTTGGGAGCATCAAGAAGGGTGACTGTTTACTCTACATCTATAAAGTGGCACTGGACATGTGTCTACTTCGGGAGTTCGAATCCCAGCTGTTGTCGCTCACTCAACATGCACACGACTGAAAAGAGATGCAGGTGTTAGGATGGAATTTTAAGCCGTGCTCCACTCTTTATTGTGCTGTGGTCCAAAAGAGCTACGAGAATTTCCCTGGTACAATGTCCCTGGTACAATGAGCCTGTAAATACTGTACAAACATTGTAGCATCTGTCTTCTCTGTCACGAACAGTGGAAGAATATTTAGTTTTTACTAGATCAAGATGATCACGTTGCATTTTTTGTGGCCTATCACTGTTCATGGTCACTTTCATTGAAAGAGCTAACTGTAATTTCCCCGGTACAATGAACCTGTACATACTGTACATAGCATCTGTCTTCTCTGTCATGACCAGTGGAAGAATTAGTTTTCACTCGATCAAGATGATGATTTTGTATTTGTAGTGGCCTATCAGGCCATGAACAGGCAAGTACACATAATTTATGCTACATAACTACAGACATGCTTGTGAGCCATAAATTAGCCATAGATTTGGAGTTCAGCACCAAGGACAGGGGAGAGAGTGACTGTCAGAGAAGCCCAGGGACAGATGTGGTTGCTTATGTGTGGATGGTGTTCAGCACCAAGGACAGGGGAGAGAGTGACTGTCAGAGAAGCCCAGGGACAGGTGTGGTTGCTTATGTGTGGATGGTGTTAAGCACCAAGGACAGGGGAGAGAGTGACTGTCAGAGAAGCCCAGGGACAGGTGTGGTTGCTTATGTGTGGATGGTGTTCAGCACCAAGGACAGGGGAGAGAGTGACTGTCAGAGAAGCCCAGGGACAGGTGTGGTTGCTTATGTGTTGATGTTGTTCAGCACCAAGGACGGGAGAGAGTGACAGTAAGAGAAGCCCAGGGACAGGTGTGTTTGCTTATGTGTGGATGGTGTTCAGCACCAAGGACAGGGGAGAGAGTGACTGTCATAGAAGCCCAGGGACAGGTGTGGTTGCTTATGTGTGGATGGTGTTCAGCACCAAGGACAGGGGAGAGAGTGACAGTCAGAGAAGCACAGGGACAGGTGTGGTTGCTTATGTGTGGATGGTGTTCAGCACCAAGGACAGGGGAGAGAGTGACTGTCATAGAAGCCCAGGGACAGGTGTGGTTGCTTATGTGTGGATGGTGAATCACTTAATACCCTAGTGAATATTATAATTATGCTTTTGTATTTAATTTTACTATTAATTCATTTTGCAATATGGTGTCTGCATTAACAAGTTTTCAAAGAAATGATTAATAATCAAATTGAGCCATTTTTACATTTTTAAACACCTCCAGTTGGCAAACAGCTATTGGACCAGGGTAAGGCCTTGAATGGTTACAGACAGTGCTTAATATGATGAATAAAGATGATGTTAAAAGTTACGTCACACCATCAGAGTTTTCAAAGAAATGATTAATAATCAAATTGAGCCTTTTTTACATTGTAAAATCAGCTCAGTGAGTTGGTGAACAGCTATTGGACCAGGGAATATCCTTGAATGGTGACAGACATTGCTTATGATGAATAAAGAGGATGTTAAAACTACGTCAAACATCAGCAGTTCTTAATCTACTTATTAGTCTACCACACCTCACCCAGAGCTGACTGGACATATTTGTCCTGAGTGTAGAATTTGTCAGTAACTCTCAGAGACTGAGCCGGACCCTGTCCTGTTAAAGCCAGCTGGTTACTGACAAAAAAGGCACTGAAGAACTCATCACTGGTAAGTGCTGACAAATACAGATACAGCACAGGGTATTCCGTATCGCCTGAGGTACCAGCCAGACTGATGCGGTATTTTATTTATGTCCTACCCATCCAAGAAAACATACCTTTCAATGTGAAATTTGGTGTCCACAAACTGAATAATGCAATGAAATCAATTATTCCAACGTTCAAATCCTGTATTCGGATTTTCGAAAGTGGTGCACGCAGTTAGGGCGAAATGTGTCTAAATTATTCTATGGAAGTCAAAACCGTACCGTAAAATACGCCTGGTCTGGAACACTGTTGCATTAGAATTTTGCCTATTGCAGAGGATGTCTTTTCCGACATAACATTTGGAAAGTACAGACGACATGTTAACCTTATATATGCAAATACGACCTTATATGAGACGTTCTGCCGAAGTGCTACATTACAGGTTTTGCGCAGGTGCAGTACGTTCTGCCAACGTGCTAGAAAATGCTTATGATTATAAATGTCATCTGATTTACACTTATAATTCTGGTTCACATAATCACATGTACACAGAGCAATTTTTTCCTCATAAGGCCTAGTAAAAAAAAGTGTTTTCTGCTTCCCGACCGACCCTAGAAAAAACTGCCTACCCTAGGGCCTAGGGTTTTTTTGGGTGGACCCTTCAAGGGACATAAATTTTTCAAGCTGTTTGACCATTTCTAGCTCCATGATCTGACATCCAGGTGATGAAGCATTGTACAAGCGGTTTTCCAACATTGACATTGAAAATATAAGTGTCCTCATGCAAGATTTACTTTAAACTGTATTGTGTAAGTTGGATCACCAGGCATTGCTATTAAAATAAGAAAGAAAAAGAAAAAAAAAGAATAATCCCTACCTATCGACCCTAATTTTTCTAGGACTGAAACAGCTAGGAAAAACTTTTTTTCTAGGCCTAAGGTCTCCAAATTATTAGAATACAGAGTTTAATTCAGCTGTATGTATCCACTCAGCAATCTGTGCAGTCATCTGAAGAAAATTGTGTACTGTACACAATAGTGCCTACTTTGTCCTTGAAATACCACCTGCATATGCAGATTAGTACAGGTAAGATCACCGTGGTAAGATTGCAGCTGTGCAGGTGTTTCTGATGTCTACCTGCACCTAACCTGCAAGTTAGTGCAGGTAAAATTGGGGCTGTGTAGGTATTTCTGATGTCTACCCGCATCTACATTTGTAACTTGAACCAGTCCATGTAGCTGTATGTGGATTTTCGATATAACTGCATTGACTGTTACCACCTCTGAAGTATTACAGAAATAATGGCAATGTTTTTGTAACAGTTTTTAGTATGAGGTATACTTCCTACATTCTGAGTGGTAGAGATAAAATGTGTTAGAGATAAAATTTTCATTGCAGGCAGTTGTTGAAATACTTTTTTTCAATATTCTGCAATATTACAGAATGTCACAGTATTGTTCTGCAATTTGAAATACTTTCTGCAAATATACAACCGACTCAATCTCATTCAAAATTCCATCTTGGAAATCATCAATTTTACATGAAATTTAAAAACACAACGCATAACTAGTATATCATTAAGTCAGTAGTAAGCACAAAAGCTTATAACAATACTAGAAAGGCCGACATTTTGCTTGGGAGCAAATACAGCATATTTCAGTCCATCTCCCTCCCACACAAAAGTGGACTATTCTGTAATGATCTTAGGCACATAAAATTGAATGTGTGGGTCATTGCGCACGACTTACGTGCAACGTGACCCCAGGTAACCCGCAATGTTCGATGTGTTCCATGGCCAACGGCAGATGGAACGGGCCATTCTTTAGATCGAACGTGGAACGGGAATAGCACTTTTGGCCCTTTTTTGGCAGATAATAGCCATTAAAGTCCCCCAAATGAGTCATTTGGAAGTGGCGTATGCCAAGTATGTGACTGCTATTCTGTAGACACACGTTCAAGGTACCCTTATACCGAATTTCAGATAGTTTGGTTGTAATACCAGGGCTCAGGATCCAAAAATCTATTTTTGTCGAAAAATGCCCCCAAAAACCTTCATAAAAATTTTTCAAAGGCATATATAAAAAAAAATGAAAGAAAAAAAACGCCTGGGGGTATTGGCCCACTCTAACTCCATGACAAATTTCAAGTCATTAGGCTAAGAAATGACAGAATTGAATCCATTTATATGAAATGGCAGGAGGAGGAGAAGAAACATGAGAGAACACAATATATTTCATCCATACCATGTGGTATGGACTGAAATATAATTATACAGACACAAAAATTTTGATCCTGATTTCCTATGATATCCTGATTTTTTCAGTCTGCAAAATTGCAAAATGCAGACTGCAGATGGGTATTGCTAACACTGGCAGGTATCCGGAATTAGGTATATTTTGAGCCATGAATAGTCAAACAGTTGCTGTCCTTGGTGCTGATATCATAGTACATGTAGCTCCAGACTTTTCCTTTATGCTTGTGTTTGCTTTGCTTTTGACTGGCACAGTGTTTTTCGCCTCAAACTGTTTTACATGGACTACATGCAGAAGACACAAAAAAAAAACGGGTGATGCAGGTGGAATTTTATTGGGCAAGTAATTGGGGTGACATCAGTTCAAGGGATACTAGAAACAAACACCTCCTGACTGGGATAAGAAAAAAGACAAAAAGATACCAGAATAGTCCAATACCATTCATGACCGGCCTCCTGAACAATCAGACTCAATAACAGATCTCTGATATAACTTTTATTGCTAAGCTCGACGTAAACGACATTTACCTTTACTGTAGAATGTGCATATTTAGTTTCTGACTTATATATATATATATATATGTGTGTGTGTGTGTGTGTGTGTGTGTTAAGAATTCTGACGTATCCGTCTTGCAACCTACCTGTTAGGTAGTGTTTATTGCATTTTAATATTGTTAAATAGGAAACATAGGATGATTTTAGCCTGTTTTTAAATGTAAAAAGTACGCAATTCAGCCCATGGCTGCAATGTACTTTTCCTGATCAAAATGATTGAATAAACCATTCATTCATTCATTCATTCATTTTTACCTCAAATTACAGGAAAATATATCCATTGCTAGATGTAGTATTAGCAGTGCACACTCAGTGTGTCAACAAGCATTTTCTCATTAATAAACAGTTCCCAGAAGCATTTGACTACAAGATGGCTGGAACCCCCATGTCAGAAGACATATCCTCTACCACAGGTAAGGGACAAGTCACATATTGATGTGGATATTGGTGTAAAATGCTTGTGTCAATGAATATTGTTGTACAACAGGACGTAATTCAGCTGTTGGCCTCAAATGTCAATAATAATTAATAGTAATGTTACATACATAAGCCTTTGACAATATTTCTAGCAGCCTTTAGTTAACTGATACTAGTAATAGCCATTAATACCTAAAATTAAAAAGCATCTGCAGGATACAGTGACAGGTGCAAGCCAAGTGGGCATGATTTTTTTTGGGGGGGGGGGCATTCTTAAAGTTCAGGTAGCACACTGGGCTACCTAAGGTTCAAAAATAGGTTGCCCCAAGTAAAATTTGGTTGCCTTGGGCAACCAGGTATTTTGCACGCTGAAGACATATAACATATTCTTAAACTTGACCTCTGCACATGCAGCAGATACAAGTAGAGATGAGAACAACGAAATATATCAGCCTGAAGATAATCCCCACTGGTCAACAAGCCTGTTAGAAACCAAAGAGGTCAGTACCCTGTACACTGCAGAAACTGACTCGACAACAATCTCAACCTCCCCTGGGAACATTTCAAGTATTGATGAAGAAAGATCAGCAGCAGAGGCCACAGACATCGCTGACGATACTGAACCTGTATATCACAACCCTGAAGACAATACCGACAGTAACCCTGGGCCACCTATAGATGGTAGTGATCTAGATGACACAGACAGAGCACCTAGTAGTAATATCCAGCACCCAGACACCACAGGGAGTTTAGATGACACTATTAACTCCGGCACTGGGGATGTTGACATGTCTGACGATATCGACATCAAAGCATACGATGTCCCTTACGAAACAAGCAACGAGCCTGATACCCAAAATCCCAACAAAAGAGTGATGACAAATCCGATGTATGAAGAACTGCCTGATGACAAAAACTTACAGAAGCTTCAATCCCAACCAAGCATGAAGGCACTGCAGCAAAACACGATATACGGAGGACTATATTTGGCTTGCATTCCTCTCAGCCAGTTGGCAAGAGGTAAGACTTCTTCTTGGTTACTGCCCAGCCCTACAGTGTAGGATTATTGGCAGCCGTTACGCATTGTTAATAACAATTGTGACCCGGTACATAAAAAAACAGAGGGAAAACAAGGATAACTGAGAAGGAAACATAACACAACTGATTTTGTGTGTGCTAAAGACGGGACAAATGCATTAGTGCGTTAGTAATATTTACATATACACAAGACATCATGGGGTGGCTCAATGCAGCAGGGTCCTTGCCATTTCAGATTTGAACTGGGCGAGAGACCCCGCCTCCACCGCACCAGGCTCAAGTTCGTTTCATTCCCTGATGGTACGGGGGAAGACCGAGAGCCTGTAGAAGTTGTTTCTGCTTGCGATGGCCTGCAATGTTTGAGTGTGATTGATTCGGCGGGAGCATCAAGCATAGACCTATTTAAGGCTACACCAATTTAATTTGTTGGTTCTCAAATTCGCCTCTTCATTTTTTTCTGACTTGCAAAAAAAATATTCTGGTTCTGAATCAACTAAAAAATGCTCATATTTTGCCCCCAACAGTTGAGGAAAGTCCTTTTCTTCCTAGTTGTTACAATTTTTCAATCTATCAATGCAGTGTTGATGAAGGTTAGACATCCAGGTAATACGATACGCCAAAAAGCAGTTACTCAAGCAACTGAATATGATTCCAAAATCATATCCAGTTGCTTGAGTAACTGCTTTTTGGCGTATCACTGCAGTGGTTTGATTAAAAGTTCCAAATTCATTGTTCAAATATTAACCCAGGCTTTTGTGTTGACTTCATGGCTCCTATGCCTAGACCTGTTTTTATTTTTATCTTTTTTCGGCCTGTCGCTTTATATTGTTCCTGAAGAAATTTCATTGTAATTGTGTTTTGTTTACCTTTTAGTCTATTACATAGCTGTACATGTATGTTTTAATTTTACCATTAGCTATAGGCTACATTGAATTGGAATAAAGAGAATGAAGAGAACTTGATCACTATTCATGTTCTTGATGCCTTTACAGTTCACTGATTCATATCTACAAAAACTAATATACATGTAGACTGTATATTTTGTATACAACTGTTTTAAACAGGTGACTCTCCAATCTATCGTTACTGCTACCTGATCGCTTTTGCAATTTTCCTGGTCATGGTTGGACTGATAACAGCAGGAATCATGGTGGAGCTGAACCACAACACTCAGGATCATGGTAACCCCATGGTATTGTGTTTTTTCCTTCTACAAGAAGATTAACTTTTGGAGAGAGGGAGAGAGAGAGAGAGAGAGAGGAGGGAGGAGAGAGGACAG